TTGGCAAATCATGCATTGCATATTTATTACACATATCTCACAGTATTCTATGCAACAAAAAACTGCAGCAATATTTTTTTTTTTTATCGGAGACTGGCAATTTTAGAAACTATTTGCTTATTTTCAAAACTGATGGACATCCATTTGCAAAAATTCATACAATGGCGAAATCGAAATCATATTAAAATATTCGTCATTACTACTACATTTCGTCTTCAATTGAATTTTTTTCTAAATAATACTAATAACAATTTCTTAAACATCGAATTTTCCCATTTTACTGTTTATTTTGTACATTTTCCAATTACATTATTCATTCTCCTTTTGTTAAGACTTTGTATACTTATAGCTAGTTATTTATTATTATATTATATGTAATTAGTACTTTGCTTTTACATATGCGTATGTATGTATATGCCTAGAATTCGGGCCGGCCAGCTTAAACGCTGTGCTTATTGATTCCGTTGCTTCACATTGTTTTAGTTTTTTTTTTGTTTGCAGTTTTATAAACGTTTCGTTAATTCTATTTTCATTTGCATTTGCATTTGCAATTAAAACCTACTTAAATAAAAAATTTACAATACGCACTGAGGTGAATGAATACTCTTCCTACCACCCAGGTTGTATTGTACGCGTAAAAATATCCTCTTCACAATCGCAAAACGCTTTTCGGTTTGAGCACTTTGTAATAAATATCAAAAAAGATAGCTGGAAAAGAAGGCGCATTTAGGAAAATTCTAAAAAATGTATAAGTGCATTATTTAACTGACTGACTTCTGGACAGCTATATATGTATGTAAGTATGTATGTATGCATATATATTTTTTGTATTGTATAATCGACACATCGACCAAATCGTTTTTAACGAGTTAACAGTGTTTTTTTTTTATTGTTTCATCGAATCGAAAGTATTTACATATTAACGTATAAATACATACGTATGTATGTATGTATGTATGTATATAGTTTTGAGTTGATTTGCAAACAATACTATTTTCGCTTTCATTCACATTCACTCTCATCATTCTACATGTTATGGTATGCCTAGCACTATACACTTAAGCTTCAAGTACATTACCGATTTAAAAGGATTTGCAGCGAGTCTCGGAATAGCTCCTCGCTTCTTCAAATCTCTTCTCAATTTACAATTTGAATTTTCTCTTTACAAATTTACATGTATTCTATAATAATGCTGAAATTCACCTAACAACAAATAATAATAATTGTTTAACATTTTCTTTTGCATTCACATTAATAAGTATTATTCGTACACATTAGTACAGTACAATAATTTGGTTAGAAATTTTGTAGAACATTTTGCATAGATGCAAACCCTTACGAGTGGGCATCGAATTGAGCTCTTCTTCTTCTTCTCACTCTTCAGCCCGATGTTGCAATGCGAGCTTTTATTGTTTCGATTTGCTTTTTTTTTATTTCTATAAATTATTAATAATTAACTAGCAGGCTAGAATTTTAAATTTGTGTGTGTTTGTGTGAGTGTATTGTGTATATGCGTATTAAAAGTTGGCTTAAATATTGAATAAGTTCTGCGATTATTTCACTTTTTCAAGTTTTATATTGGATAGTTGTTTAAAAAAATATCGCTCTGTGGCTTGTAGTCTTGACAGCGTCACACCATACCTCCTCTTTACATTTATGTATGTATGTGCCTTTGTGTTTGCTTGAAACGCAGTTTGTTTGTGACGTGACACTTTTTAGGTTCACGTAACCTTTAACTGGCTTGTTCGCCTGACACTCAACAAATAAATATCCAGTGCATGATTGTATTTCCCTTATAACTTCGACTCGGCGCCAGTTTTGTTAGTTTCACCCGAAAATTCTCTCTCCGCTTCTTCGCGCTGTGGACTGGGTAGAGTTTTCACGATTTTTGGTACGATGGTTATGGGCTGATCTTCCTCATCCTCTACTTCCTCGCCTTGTTCCTCGTCGATCGGCTCGAGTGTATCAATTTGCATTGGTGCTTCATCGGAGGTCGTCCATCGCTTTAGACAGGGCGCCATGAAGCTCGTGATGGTGGATAACGCGAAGAGTCCGCCAGCCATGTAGAAAGGCAAATCGTAGCTCTGTGTTGCATCGTAAACGGCGCCGGCAAGTGGTGATCCAATGATGGCGGCGAATCCTCTGAATAGAATGAGCAAGCCGAATGCATTGGTCAGTTTGTCCAGTCCTAGCAAATCGACGAGAATAATTGACGTGAGTGAGATGTAGCCGGATATGGCGGCACCAAAGAAAATGGACATTGTCACGTAGGCACCATATGAAGAGCAAAGCGGCGTTAATGACACAGCGACAGTCGAGACCAAGAGGCAAACGTTGTTGAGCAGCAGGGAGTCGACGCTGGGAAAATCGGCTACGTAGCCGCAAATCACCCTGCCAAATGTGTTTGTTATGCCGATAATCGAGAGCAGAAACGATGCGGAGCTGTCTTCGATGCCGTCCTTCTTGGCCGCATCGACAAGATACACAAATGGCACGTACAGTCCCGCCATGCCGAATACGTTGGAGATGCCGATAAGCATAAAAACTGGGTCCTTCAACAAGCTGACGTCCAGCATTGTGTTAAATACAGATTTGATGGAGTCGGGTATGCTGAGGCACGGGCAAAGATCGTATTGGTCGCGTCCTTTTTCAGCTTCGGCCAGTGGATCAAGCACTCGCACACTTTGCATGCTCTTTTCATACTTGGTTAGCGATAGAACAGAGTTGCGGTAGTTGGTGAGGGACTTTTGCGATTGGTATTGTGGTAGATTTGTAACGGAGCCCGAGTAGAAGATATCTTTTCGCGACATCGGTCTAACCATTTTGCCACTATCCTGGCGTTGTGAGAGCGACATTTTCGATGAGGTAAAACCCATTTCTACACCATTGCTGTCGAGGTCGCCGCGTGATGATGCCCGAATAGCAGCCAAGGAAGGCTGGAAACGTTCGCTCGCTGATGTTTTGCGCACGCGATTGAAGGAAGGCACCGAACCGTTCTTTGGAAGACTTTGATGATCTGCCATAAAGGCAGGCTGTGAGGCGTTGCGTGTCATTGCATCTGAGGAATTGTAGGGGCTCGTTTCCGTTTCAGAGTTGCGATGCGATCTCTTGCCGCTGCGCTTCACATCCAATTGACCGTTGCTGTCCACCGTAGGCGGGCTCTGGGCACCAGTTTGATACTCGGCAACTTTCGCTTCGGTGATGGTTGGTAAGGTTGAGACGGGATGCAGAGTACCCTGCTGGGCGAGCAGCTCCAAGTTCAGGCTGGAGTGTACGCCAGGATCAGCGTTCAGTGGCATTTTCATTTTGCGCTCCATGGAACCGTCCGGCAGCTGTACCATGAAATGAGAACCAGCAATTGAGCCGCGCTCTAATTGCAACTGCTTCTCCTCGTACATGCGTTGCATAAGCGGCTTGACCTTTTTCTTTTTAGGATAGGTGAGCGGACGCATCATGGCACCGAAGATGGCACAATTCAAAATAAGACCAGCAAAGATTAGCAGTGCGTTCTTCCAGCCATACAACTGTAGCAAGTACGTGGCCAAAGGCGCGAAAGCGAAAGTACCAAAACCGGAACCGCACACCGCGATACCAGTTGCCAGCGACCGCTTTGTTTCAAAGTAATAACCGACGGCCACAACTGCGGGCAGGTAAATCATGCCGAACCCGAAACCACCGATCACACCATACGTCACCATCAGCATATTGATGGACGTGCTCATCGTGCTCAACACAAACGCAATACATCCCACCACACTGCCGGCGATGCACACAGCGCGGCAACCAAATTTATTTGCTAACGCGGACACAATCGGACCAGCACTCAGGTAAACGCCACTCAGCAGACTGCCTACCCAGGCGACTTTGCCCTTGCCCTCGCCAAAGTAATTTACAAATTCACCGAGGAATATGCCAAATGTGTACGCGATGCCGTCGACAATCATGTTGCACATAAACGATGCAAAGCAGATGACCCAACCGTAACCACCGTCCGGCGGTGGTGGCAGCTCGCCATACTCGCTGAGGTCGTCTTCGTCGTCCGGACTGACGGCGCCCTCTTGCAGGTCGGCGGTAAGGCGGGCGGCTTCTTCGCACGCAACTTCACTGTCCGTGCGATCGAATTTACGTAGACGCGTACCGGAACCCAGAGTATTTGTATCACCCATTTTAATTTGTTTTGTCTTAATGCTACTTAGTTAGGTTAAATGGCGGAATTTACGTTGTCAACCAGACTCACAATATTTTTAACTGAATGTCTGCACTTATGTTTTTTGAGTTATTGCCTTTTTTTATTTTTTACTAAGTATTTTAAATTGTGTCTAAACACATTGGTTCACACTTGGTGGCTTTGCGTGCTCGTCCACACAAATGTGCTTCGAAAATTTATTTTGCTTGTGTGCTTCTTCTTGTTCTTGTTTTCTTTTTTTTTTCTACTCGTTCCTCACCACTACACCATCACAGGACCACACTTTTTATTCGCCTTATTGTCTGCTGGTATTCAATGCTATGGCGTTTTGCGTTTTTAGTTCCTTTTTACATTCGATTTTATGCTTTCACTTTTTCCCTAAACGAACGGTTCTAGAGCGAACTTCTTTTGCTGTTTTATCTTTATTATGTGCGTAGTTTTATTATATTTTTTGTAAGAGCGCTGGAGAACTTGCGGCCACGATTATTGGTGGTCAATTGTCACGGTTCAACAAAGTTCAATATTAATTTAAACTTCTTCCTTTTGGATTTCGGCGCTGTTTAAGCTTTATCTCACTGACTGACGGCGGCCGACTCGTCGTTGTCTCATTGACTCCGCACGTTTGTTCGCTCGCGCGGTTGGTTACTTGACTTGGCTGGTTGCTTGGTTGGTGTTGGGTGGTGGGCCGCCACAGCGCTATTGTCGCTCTTCGCTGCCGTACGACGCGGCACAATTGCTGAGTTTTGAGTTGAGTTGTGTTTCAGCGGCAGCAGCAGCAGCGCCAGTCGGCGGGAGTAGTTGTGTTCTCCTTCAAGGGTGGCTGAGCTAGGTAGGAGCGCCTGTGTCTGCGGGTGTGTGAGCGGGGCGCACGTATGACAGTTTCGGACGGTGAGAGTGTGGTCTCAGTGCTCCCAGCGTTTAATGCTCAGAGTGCTGCGAGCACTACACTCGCGGATGGAGTGCTGCGACCAGTGTGTGATAGTGTGTGTGGGTATATATGTATTTGCTATTGATATTATTTATTTGATAATTTCTTGATATTCTTTTTCACTTTGTTTTGTTGTCGTTATCGAATGGAATGATGACTGTATTGCGGGCTGTTTTTTTTATTATTTTTTTATTTTAGTAGTGTTTTTGTTTTATTTGCTTTAGGCTATTTGTTCGTCTTGTGGTGTTTTAGTTATGCGCTGCAGTTAATATGCAATGCCTGCACTTGAGCTGTTCGTGTTTTATCATTTACTTCATGTGCTGCCGGAATGGCGAGACTTGTATAAAAATGCTGCAATTGTGAAATGAAATTACACTATTTTTTGCCGTTTTTCTGTATAGTTCTATGACTCTATATTTTATATATTACAAATTGTTTGAAAATTGAGCTAAGGAAAAATTCACGCTTACGCTGGTAAAAGGTTATGCTAATGACTAAGAATTTGCAATGAAATGCTTTAGAAATAAAGCAAGAAAAAGTTTGAGACACAGTTTTTTTTTGTTTGCAGTTTTTTTTTAGTTTATTGTTGTTTTTTTTTTAGTTTATTGTTTTTTGTATGCTTATTGCTGCGTGTTAATATTAAGTATTGCTTATATTTTGATAAATAAATTTTGCAATCATTTCGACTCTTTGTTCGGCTGTGTTGTGCCTTGTTGGTTTTTTGCTCGCGGGTGCTTGTTTTTGTGTGTGGAAATTTCCTTTGTCACACTTTTCAGATTTTTATTAAGTAATTGCTTTTTCTGATATTTTCTTCTGTTTTTTTTTTTTGCCAGTGTGCATCACCAGCAGCTGTCCATTGCTGCTACTTTCGCTACGTTATTTTTCGTTTTTAATTTCGTTATATGTAATTTTGAGTATTTTTATTGTTGTCTGCTGCCAATGGCTGCCTCTTCCTCCTCGCTTCGCTTCTGCCTTTGCTGATGTGTTTTGCTCTTAAGCGCTTTGTGTAATTTGTATTTTTAGTATAAATTTGTTGCTGTTGTTGTGGTTCTTGAAATACCTCAACGCTTTGGGGCGTATTTGCCGTTTGTTTGTTGTGTTGTTTGTTTGTGTTTTGGTTATTTCTTGCTGTGCTTTTTTCGTATGCTATTCTCACTTTTCCTCTTCCATTTTAGTTTGCATTAACAGCAAAAGCGAAATGTGCAGAAGAACCGTTAACGTTTTAACACCTTACCCTTGGCTTTAGCGAGTAGAAGCAGCTCGCGAGGTATTTTTCGTTATTACTTCCTTTCCTCCTACTTGTTCACTTCCTTCCGTTCTGCCCTTTTTTCAACGTTTTGTTTTTGTTTCTGCTGCTGCAGCTGCTGCTGCTGCTGCTAAAAGACACACGACGTCGTGTAATTGTGAATATTAAAAGTTTTTAAATGAATTGTTGCCGCAGGCAGTGGTGACCTTCTTAACTGTTTGCTTGAGTGCTGGTTTTCAAGTGCATTTGTTTTGGCCAACTTTTGTCAAAATGTAATACATTTCAAAAACAACAAACGCGCACTTTTTCAATTTCTTTTTGCTGGCCTGAAATCTAAATGTTCATTTTCCGCGTTTAAACGATTGTTTTGTCCCGGGGTCCGTTTATGTGCGTGCGTGCGGGCGTGCGGGCGTGTGTGGTGTTTTCTCCAATTTTCCGTTTTGTTCTACGACCGCAAAGTTTCCGTTTTACTATTTGACAATGAATATTTAATTTTTCGTTTTATACAACCATGCTGTTAGCCGTGTGTGCTAGCCGAGCGAGTGCTCCGTTTCGTTCGACGCGTGATCGATAAATGTTTTCAACAAAAACAACAATTTCACGAGCTTGTTACAAAGAACGTTGTCGCCACAGCCTCAGCCTCAGCTGCAGCCGCAGCCGCAGTCGGAGTCACTGCTTGGTCTCTGCCGCTGCTGCCACTGTTGCTGTTGCTGCTGCCTTTAGTTTTGTTTAGTATTCGCCGTTGTCGTCTCAGTCGTCTCAATCGCCACCGTTGCCACTATTTTAAAGTTTCTGCCCCTATGTACGTTTGCCCCACATATCCATCATTCCACACCGACAATTGAATTTCTGATGATTTTGTACTTCACCTTTTTGTTGTGTTAGCTGGTAATTAAAAAATTTCGCTGCTCTGTCTTTGCTATACTAAGTATGTATGTATATACAAACAAATGAGTATGCGATACTATTTGGACGATTTTTCTCGGCACAAAATGGCTGCTGCTTAATTTTGGTTATGACGTTGTGACGTCGCCGTTGACGACTCACACGTCGCTGACACTTTTTGCCGCTGCAAAAATAATTTCAATCAACTTTTCGCTTTAATATTTTAGCAGGAAAAAAATATTAATTTAGAAAAGAATGACTGCTGCTGTAGCTACACAAATACTGTAGTTGGCTAGTTTGGGGGGGTCTGCCAGTTAGTTTCACACTGTACCAACAGAAACAGAAAGCACTCTTCGCTCGGTTGTAGCGCTGCCGACTGTCAACTGACCTGGCTATGAAACTCGCCAATGCACACACCTCATCGGAAATCATTCTGTGCAGCAGCGCGCGCAAACTGTTATACGAATTCCAAAAGAAGATGGATATATGGGGGGCGACAGTCTCTTCCGCAGCGGTGCAAGGGTACGCATACGTAGCGTCGTACCACCAACCGAGTGTGTACATATGTACATATGTGTATGAACATAGTGTGGATGTGTGTGTGCGTTTTTATGTAAATGTGTATGCCTATGGGAATGTTTTTTTACTTCACCGCCGCCGTCATTGTTGCTGACATGCTACATAAGAACCTTCCGTTTCCGTGCTCGTGAGCGTTAGAGCAAGCGCACTGTGTCAGCGTGCTCTTAGCTCACATATTTTGCCGCTGTTGTTGCTACTGCTGCTGCTACTACTGCTGCTGCCGCTGTTGCTGCTCATTCATCAACAATGCATGCAACAACGGCTGTACCGAGCAGGGCGCGCTCATTGATAGCCAAGCGGGCAAGCAGTTTTGTTTGCATTCAAGTTTTTTACGTCGTTTTCTTTGGCGTTTGCTTTGTTTTGCGAAAATCAAGTTTTTGCTGAGAAAACATTTTCTGGCTATTCATCGCACTTAAACAAACAACAGCACCATCACCAACACCTGGTTGCCGAGGGTTGATTGTGTCTGTACTGTTTCTTCTTCTTCTTCTTTGTTGATATAAAAGTGGTGTGATATTCTGAGCGTGAAGAAATAACTCGCAACTTTGCTGAGCGTAGTAGACCCAGAGCGAGTTTCAACTCACGTTTTCAAGTGCGTCAACAGCTGTGCCGCGAAGTCGACTAGCAACAACAAATAAAAAGAAATGATATAAAAACGCTTGGAGTTGTCTTTTCTTGAGGGCCGTGCAGACTATGCAAACTGTCAAAAACACGACTTGGTGTAAGCCATTCATGCCCGGCATTTCCCTGTCGTAATGTGCTGTCATGCATGTGACAGACAGCACTTCCTTCGGCTCTTGTAGCGATGCGCGTAGGCTGTGTGTGTATGAATGTTTTGCGATGGATTTGCAATTGTGCAGCGAAGGGCTGTTTCACGGTCCAGTTGTGCACTTTGTCAATGGATGGCCAAATATCGGGGAGAAGGACAAACAACCAGGATGTCATGGCTACAGTGGGTAGCATATGTTTTTTATTGGTGCCGTACATTATATCTCTGCATGCTTGGCTGATGGTTTTCCCCAATGGCATGGACGACTTCAAAGCCTATTGCCAGCAGGTGACCAGCTGTTCTGGCGTTATTCACCTATTGTTAGGCGAATTTCATCAATAAGATAACAATACACTTTCTTTTATCTTTATCGCAGTCGAGTGGAAATGCTGAGGCTGATTATTGCTGCCTTGCATGCCTGTTTGCCATCACTGCTGTTATTCCGCCCACAGCACCTCTTCTACTTAGCGCGTTCTGGTTCGTATTAAAGCATTCGATCTCCAATGACAACGGCTAGTCTTGCCACCCTGCAGGAATTTTTTTTTGCTACTCCAACATAGAACAACCAATCACTTGTAAACTAAATTACTAAAGCATTTTCCTGCCGTTCACGTGCATGCGCTCTGCTTGGCTACCAACTTTGTATTGAAATTTTAAATTTGCGCCTGTCGACACGACGAATATGGCTGACTAATAAATTATAACGCCCTTACAATAGTGGCATCTACGGCTTGAACGAAATACATAGTACGTACCTGAATGATGGCGCGGCAAATGATTGTCGTCATCAAAATCAGTAGCACCGGCAGCAGACAGCAACAGCAACAGCCAGCGATAGCAAACTGTTACCAAGTCGTAAAATGTTTGGGTTTTTGCACACAGAGGCACACTTGCATTGCTGCCACCAAGGTACGGTGTATAACAGTTTTGTCGATGAGTTGTTGGATGTTGAATGAAGGGTGTTGTTGGTGTGGTTGTGCAATTGTTTATTATAAGCAGTGCCTATTTTGCTCATGACTACCTTTGTTAACTTACATACACATGTATATATAAATATACATAGCGATATTTTCTGGTATCTGCAAAATATCTTTATTTTATCAAAGCGAGTTTTTTTTTGGGTGTTCTCCTGCATTTTCTTCATTCAAAGTAAACAGCAGAAGTAAAGGCGGCCACTATGGTGTAGTGGTTAGCAGTGCGCACTACCATTCCGCAGGCCTGCGTTCGAGCTCAGTTTCCAACTAAAAAAGTTTTTGCTAATAGCGGTCGCCCCTCGTCAGACAATGGTAAACTTCGTGTGTACTCTATTAGAGAGTATTACGAAAAACCACGAAAGAGAGAAATAGAGATTGCGCCCATTGCGGTACAGCTAATCCGCTCTTTGTGAATTTGACAGAATCAGATGTGTGCGTGGCGTCATCTTGGTGCAAATGTTGATTGAGGAAAACCAAATTACGATTTAAGTGGGTACGGTTTAGTTCGGGTTCAATGATTTCGGGCTATTGTGTCCGAATGGGTGACGCGATCCAAAAAATTTTACACACACTTGTAGTCAAGGGTCTCTACACTTTATTGTAAAACCTAATTTTGTAATTTGCGGTCACTAAATCATTAATAAATTCGGTTTGAAAAATGCACTTTTTTGTGAATTTCGGAGTGAGTTCTACGCAAATATACTGTGGATGGCGTAGCCGGAGTTATATGCACAATAAATGTTGAATACCTTTGACAATAGAAATACTGTTTTTCAAGGTCACATTTCCGGTGTGAAAATGCTAATTTTAGACCATTTTGCAATGGTTTCCCAGGGGTATGTGGAACGTTTCGAGGGATTAGGTGTGACTTTTTACAAAGTGTGAACTGTGCTCTTTTAAGTGGGTTAGATATAAAGATTCAAATTGATTTCTTGCACATTTCTGCTCCGAAAAAAGTCCGGGCTGTTTCGGGTACGAAAAATAAGACATTTACGATCCAAAAGTGGGAGGTATCTCTTTATTAGCCATTTTTTTTTTAGCGAGAGGAACGCTTTATGGGCTGTTTTGGGCACCCGCGGGTACAAACTTATATTTTGCTATGCGTTTTTGCATTTCTCTCTCGCAATTGCACCAAGATGACGTCACCAGGGCTGCCAACTTGGCTCAAACCTTTCCATTTTTTGGCCCTATTTTACTTACAAAATGGCATTCTTCCCGTTTAGCATTAAAATTAGAAACACATACACACATATATACATATATACAAACATACACACACACATATGTATGCATGTATAAACATCCATTCAAACATTCAAGCAAATACCCAATGGAAAATCAAGTCTAAAATCATAGCAAACAAAAGTCTCGCAGTCACGCAGCCTAGGGGGTTGTCTGGCAGCCCTCGTCTTTCGGTCAATGTCAATCAGCCACACACACACACACACATCCAATATTCACTACAGTTGCACGTCTGTGTGTTCACTCGCTGCAAAGCTCAATATTTTTGCGCTGTTTAAAGCTAACCGCCAGAAACTGGCTGGCATTTCTTCTTGCCCAGTAATTATTTCTTGCCATTTGTTAACCGATAAATCTGCAACAATGTTCTGCCTAAATTGAGTTGAGTAATTTGCACAAAAATTGACAAGATTTTATAATCAAGCAATGCATTTTCTGCTTTTGTGCTGACATTCTCGCTTTTGCATGGAGGTACATACATACATACATACGTATATATGTATGTATGTCGTTCGTTGGATTAGCATTTGCTTTTTCTTTTTGTTTTTTTTTTACTTAGTCATAGATATTATAAGAAAAGTAGGTGAGTATGTATATGTATGTAGATATGTATAGGTAAATTCTACGTCTGTGCAGTATAATTGTTGTGCTCAAACATACACACAGAATATATACAACATATTTGTATGAGCTAACGGCTGACAGAGTGAATCGGGAGAGCGAGCGTGCCGTTAAAAGTGACATCAGATTCGCTGATTTGTTGTGAACAGGGGAAACTCCTTGGATTATGCATAGCCACTATTGAATAAATAAATAATTTCTGATACTACTCAGTAATACGGCGTTTCCACGCTTCGTAATTCGCTCTCTTATTTGTAATTCGCTGTCCCATTCGTCATTCGCCTTGCCGAATTACCTTCCGAATTACGTAATTCGTCATACAAAATTTTGAGAGCGAATTACCTCATTTGTAGGTAATTCAGATCGAATTATCATACGAATGACGAACGAATCGGTGCCTTCTCTAATATTTATCGGAAATATATCTAAGTTTTCACCGGTCTGCTCCCATTCGCTGGTATTTTTTCCAGTTATAGAATAATAATAATAAAATATTCTCTATCTAAATTAAAATTGTTGATGATAACTTAAATTTTAGCTCTATCTTCGATATTTGCAGTACACAAAAATAATAATAAATAGCGAAGAACGAGAACAAGAACTAGAGCTAATGTGTGTGTCGTGGAAACTGGGTAACTCACGAATTACTTAGAGAGCGAATTACGCATCGTGGAAACGTCGTATAACAGTAAACGATATCGATAAAAAAAGACTACAATAGATAACGTAGACGACAATTATGTACAAATGTATGTATGTATATCGATAGTGATACCGATCTCGTAACGATAAATAAATGGCGTGACTATCCAGTTCACTACATGCGATGATTACATGTTTTAACTGGGCTTAGCGTGTGAGGATATCATCGTCAACGTCATCCAAATAAATGTGTACCTCTTCTACGCCACATAGAAGTAGTATAACAGCTGTAAGCAGTTTCTGGTGGGGTGCCACAGAAGCGAACACCCCAACAGACCACTGATGGAGGAGGAGCCTCCGCCCAGGCACGTCAGGGGGCACCTATTCGTGTACAATGACGCAGTCCATACCCACACAGACCAACCACTGGACCCAATGACGTACAGACAAGCGATTAACGATATTAATAGGGAGTCAGTCTCCACCTACCTCGACTCCCGGCCCAAGAATGTCGTTATCGGAGCCCAATCACCACCTGTGGAAGAGACGGAGCTTCAACTACCTAGAGAGACCCGCGTTACCCTGGCTCAGTTACGGTCTGGATATTGTAGCCGCCTAAACAGCTACCTGTCCAGACTCGACCCAAACATCCCAAATGAGTGCCCGGCATGTGGAGCCTCCCCCACGACACCAACCACCTCTTCACATGCCAGCTCAATCCGACTCAACTAACACCCCTCTCCCTTTGGTCCGACCCCATCGAAACAGCTCGTTTCCTGGGCCTACCGTTAGTTGAGCTTGACGATAATGATTAAAAGTTGACCCGAAACAGGCGGGGCTTAGTAGTGCCGCTACAACAACAACAAAAACAGCTGTCAAAACTGAATTATAAATATATGTATTGATGGATTATACGATACCGTGGAATACGCCTCCACCTGCAGCAGAAAAACGCTGCCGCACAACGCGCTTCATTCTTCGTGCTGGACCGTCATTGAGAAATCCCAATCTCCTCAAATAACTCCCTACCCTCGGTGATGCAAATTTTTAATTTTGGTTGGTCGCTAAATAAAACCCGTTTTTGGGGCGAGTTTCAGCCCTCTTATCGCCAACTTCTTTCTACCTTTTGTTTGATTGCCTAGATATTTTAAAAATTCCGACGAAGTATTTTATATTTCGCATAGTAAAACATAGATACTATCTGGCGTGTGGTTTTTCTCAAAAGGCTTTCACGATCGCTCACTGAAAGACCTTTTCTCGTTTTGAACGATGACAAAAATTCTCTAAGATCAAATACATTTATTTATTAGAACTTTATACGCTGCTAAAATTGAATTTTAGGACATTCGATGGGAATAATCATAAACAAATTGTTTCTCCGACATTAGATCTCTCGTAACTGCAGTTGCATTTGTTCTGGCCACCGCTTTAAATATCTTTCAAAAAGTTACGCGGCCAACTTGTGTCTCAATCAAATCCTCGTGAGTGCTCAGCAGTGTGACTTCTTCTGTTTTTCATTCTTCCTTTTTTGTTGTGTATGACTAGACCGAGAGCGGATTACATACATTGTCACTGTTGGATGTGTACTTGCTCTTTCATTTAAATGTAAATATTACAAAAAGAAAACTGCCTGCTGGGCGGTAGCAACAAGTAGTTAGTTGTGTGCCTAAACGTCTCGACTACTTTAGCAATTCTTTGAGAATGTTTCGTCGCAGGCGGCTCTTCCACATGCACTTTGCTATTTTAGCGGTGTTTTGCATAACTCGTTATTTATTTAAACGTACGAAAGGACTCGTATGTCCAACCTTCACTTATCCTGCCATTTGCACGGCTACTTTGCATAAGCGGTTGACTTACTAATAAATAATAAGTAGTGTAACAGTAAAGTCTTTTGATTGCTCTGTGGTACATACATATGTACATATGTATTTATTTGCTATTAGAATAATTTATATGTGCGCAGAAGTGTCATTCATTCATATGATGCAAACAAACGTAAGCCATTTGTAGCAATTCAAAGTAATTTACACTGAATGCAGATATTTGTTACGAATGTTCTACAACTACTCGTTGCTGCTGCAGTGGCGGCGTGGCGTGTGTTGTTGCAATAATGCGGTTGACTGCATCGTCGTTTTAGATTTTAGTATATACATATCTACAATCAATATAGCAAACTTTTATACGAGTACATTAATAGATACGCATTTATGTATATATCTAAATACGTATGTAGCTGTGTGTTTCTGTTGTGTCGCCACTCCCTGCAAAAGGAATAAATATAAGCAACTATTTCTATGGATTCGTAGGTTATGCAGCAGGTTGGCAGGTTGTGGGAAACTGACTTCTCGT